TTTTGAACTGTTGTTGAGTCTCAAGCAAACAGGCTCCGTGGAAGAATACAGAGAGAAGTTCGAACTCTATGCTGGTCCATTAAAGAGTGCAAAACCTGCATACTTGAAGGGCATCTTTTTGAATGGGCTTAAGGAATTAATTAAAGCAGAATTAAAGCTTCACCCAACAGAAAGCTTGGCTGATTTAATGGATTGTGCACAAAGAGTGGATGAGAAGAACCAATTGATCACAAAAGGGGAAAATTCAACAAGTATGATGAGCAGGCCAATGAGAACATATAATACTAATCGCACAGTGATGTGGGAACCGGGAGCAAAGCAACAACCCCACGTTTCCGGAATTGGCAGTTCTACTGGAGAGGGAAGTGTGGTGAAACCTTCTAATACTTTCAGAGGAAGAAGCTTTAGAAAGTTAACAGATGCAGAGTTACAAGAGAGGTCTAGGAAGGGATTGTGTTTCAGGTGTGATGAAAAGTTTGGTCCAGGCCATGTGTGTGCACATAAACAATTACAAATTTTAGTGTTGGCCGAAGGGGAAGAAGAAGGAGATGCAGAGGGAGAAATGACGGTGGTTGATGAAAACGGCGAGCTAACACACCTTCAGTTATCTATGTGTAGCATTGCTGGCCTTACATCAAAGAAAATAATTAAATTGTGGGGTAAGATTGGGGAAGAACAGGTCATGGTACTTATTGATTGTGGAGCCTCTCATAATTTCATTTCAGCCAAGTTTGTGAAACAACAGAAACTGGATATGTATGCAACCTCCATTTATACAGTGGAGGTGGGTGACGGAAGAAAGCTGGATTGTGAAGGGGTGTGTCCTAAATTGAAGTTGGAGATACAAGGTCTAAACATTCAACAAGATTTCTATGTCTTTGATCTTGGAGGAGTGGATGTGGTGTTCGGAATGGATTGGTTGGCTAGTCTAGAAGAAATAAGAGCAAATTTTCGTGAATTAACTCTTAGAATTTCGATTGCGGACAGATATCACACACTGAAGGGAGACTCCGATTTAATGAGAGCTTTAGCTTCTTTAAAGTCTATTTTAAAGGCTCTACCGTGAGTATGTTTAGTAATGTTGATTCAAAATGATGCTTATGCATGTTTAAATTTGAAGATTTGATCATGTATGTATGATATATGATGTATGGTGGTGTATGATTCATATGTATGCTTGGTAATGATATGTATGAATGTTTAAATATGATATGACATGTGTGTATGCGGGTTGGATGTAGGTCGAGCGTGAGCTGGCTGCACCGGGCGTGAGTATGTTTAGTAATGTTGATTCAAAATGATGCTTATGCATGTTTAAATTTGAAGATTTGATCATGTATGTATGATATATGATGTATGGTGGTGTATGATTCATATGTATGCTTGGTAATGATATGTATGAATGTTTAAATATGATATGACATGTGTGTATGTTTATATGAGATGATATTGATCATGATGGTGGATTGACCATGTATGGTGTATGATGCATTATTGCATGTGATGCCTTATGACATGTGTCTAGCCTAGGACTTGAGGAGAGGGAAATATTTTTGAACTAGAAGAACTCACATAGAGTTTCTTGAGAGTGGTGTTTGGATAGGCCACTGATATAAATGAGAGTGATACTTAGATAGGCCACTAGTTTTGGGTGAGAGTGGTGCTTAGATAAGCCACTGGTTTGGGTGAGTATCTTCTAAGTCCTTAGCTAGTGTTGGAGCGGAGTATGAGGTCAAGGGTTATTCCCTTAACCAAGTACTGGGGAAGGTGCGTGGTTCCTTGCGGATAGTCGGTGGGCAAACTCCACAAGTGACTTGGTAATGCATGCCAAGGTTGTGGTAAGCCTGTACCCAGCTGTGTTATACCTAACGGTGGAACCAGACTTCCAAGTGTGTAAGTGACATAATTTGAGTAAACCCGAGTGAGGATTTATATCCTGATTAGTTGTGACCGAGCGGGCGCATTGGGCGTGAAAACGATTGGGGTGGTTTCAGTAGGATTGGGATGTCACTTATATTACTCTACTGTTAGGGAGATCTCTTAGGGTATGGTGTATGATGCATTATTGCATGTGATGCCTTATGACATGTGTCTAGCCTAGGACTTGAGGAGAGGGAAATATTTTTGAACTAGAAGAACTCACATAGAGTTTCTTGAGAGTGGTGTTTGGATAGGCCACTGATATAAATGAGAGTGATACTTAGATAGGCCACTAGTTTTGGGTGAGAGTGGTGCTTAGATAAGCCACTGGTTTGGGTGAGTATCTTCTAAGTCCTTAGCTAGTGTTGGAGCGGAGTATGAGGTCAAGGGTTATTCCCTTAACCAAGTACTGGGGAAGGTGCGTGGTTCCTTGCGGATAGTCGGTGGGCAAACTCCACAAGTGACTTGGTAATGCATGCCAAGGTTGTGGTAAGCCTGTACCCAGCTGTGTTATACCTAACGGTGGAACCAGACTTCCAAGTGTGTAAGTGACATAATTTGAGTAAACCCGAGTGAGGATTTATATCCTGATTAGTTGTGACCGAGCGGGCGCATTGGGCGTGAAAACGATTGGGGTGGTTTCAGTAGGATTGGGATGTCACTTATATTACTCTACTGTTAGGGAGATCTCTTAGGTGTATGTGTGACAACGCATTAGATGATTGATATGTATTTGTTTAAATATGATATGACATGTGTGTATGTTTATATGAGATGATATTGATCATGATGGTGGATTGACCATGTATGGTGTATGATGCATTATTGCATGTGATGCCTTATGACATGTGTCTAGCCTAGGACTTGAGGAGAGGGAAATATTTTTGAACTAGAAGAACTCACATAGAGTTTCTTGAGAGTGGTGTTTGGATAGGCCACTGATATAAATGAGAGTGATACTTAGATAGGCCACTAGTTTTGGGTGAGAGTGGTGCTTACGTTATAGACCAGGAAGGGAGAACAGAGTGGCTGATGCTCTTTCTAGAAAAATGACATTTTCTGCCTTGTCCTCAGTCCACTTTGAGCAAATGGCAAATTGGGAATTTAAAATTCATCAAGATCCTAAGCTTCAAGGGATAATTCATGATTTGATAAAAGATTCTAATTCCCATCCGGGCTATAAATTTCAGAATCAGAAGTTGTTTTATAAAGGTCGGTTAGTCCTTCCAAAAGGCTCTTCTCGCATACCATTATTGTTACAAGAATTTCATAACTCTGCTATAGGGGGCCATTCGGGTTTCTTTCGAACCTATAAAAGAATCTCTGAAGTTGTGTATTGGGAAGGCATGAGGAAAGACATCTAGCATCATGTAGCTACGTGTGAGACGTGCCAAAGGAATAAATATCAAGCTCTATCTCCGGCAGGACTTCTTCAACCACTACCCATACCCAATCAAGTGTGGGCTGATATATCAATGGACTTTATTGAAGGGCTTCCCAAGGCTCAAGGAAAAAATGTCATCTTAGTAGTGGTTGATAGATTGACTAAATATGCTCATTTCCTTGCACTTAGTCATCCTTTTACTGCAAAAGAGGTTGCTGAAGTTTTTATCACAGAGGTAGTTAAATTGCATGGGTTCCCCTCTTCTATTGTATCGGATCGTGACAAAATATTCCTTAGTCACTTCTGGTCAGAATTGTTCAAATGGGTCGGCACTCGACTCAAGTTTAGCACTGCATACCATCCCCAAACAGATGGCCAAACTGAGGTGGTCAACCGGTGCTTAGAGACTTATCTGAGGTGCCTCACTAGAAGTAAGCCTAAGTAGTGGCCTAAGTGGTTGAGTTGGGCTGAGTTCTGGTTTAACACCAACTACAACAGCTCTTTAAAATTGACTCCTTTCAAAGCATTATATGGCCGCGATCCACCCCATCTTCTACAGGGAACCACTATTCCGTCAACTGTGGAAGAGGTGAACCTGATGACTTATGACCGGGATCAAATGTTACATGATCTCAAGGAAAATTTGGTCACAGCCCAGAATCAAATGAAGAAGTATGCTGACCAATCTCGACGCGCAGTATCCTTGGTTATTGGTGATTGGGTGTATCTCAAGCTCAAGCCATATAGGCTACGATCATTGGCTCGAAAAAGAAATGAGAAGCTGAGTCCACGTTTTTATGGTCCTTATCAGATCACAAAACAGATTGGAGCAGTTGCTTTTCAGTTAGCCCTTCCACCAGAGAGTAAAATCCACCCTGTGTTCCATGTTTCTTTACTCAAGAAGGCTCTCTCTCCCTCAGCAACTCCTCAACCTTTACCACCTATGTTGTCCGAAGAGTTGGAATTGCAGGTAACCCCAACTGCTGTGAAAGCAGTGCGTAACACTACTCACGGGATTGCTGAAGTGCTTATTCAGTGGACTGACCTGCCAGAATTTGAAGCCACTTGGGAACCAGTGGAAACCATCATGAAGCAATTTCCTTCTTTTCACCTTGAGGACAAGGTGACTCTTTTGGGGGGGAGTATTGTTAGGCCTCTTATAAGTAAATATTATAAGAGGAGTGCCAAGACTTAGGTTTTATAATAGGACTGAATTGTTTTAGCAGTTATTAATTATTTTAGCAGTTATTGTTGTAATTGTTTTAGTAGTTATTAATTATTTTAGCAGTTATTGTTGTAATTGTTTTAGCAATTATTAATTATTTTAGCAGTTATTGTTGTTTTAATTAGGACTAGATGCTATTAGTGGGGGGCAAGCGTAACTGCCTCTAGGCAGTTATTAGCAGAATAAAAATAGCAGAAGAGGGAGGACAGAGGGCAGGCAGTTTTTGAGTGGTTTTGGAAGGGAGAGACCAAGATCTCGAACATCTTGTGAGGGGACCTTTGTACTCAAATCAGTTTACTAAATTTCCTATATAATTTATATTCTGTACCAGTTAAATTAAGTAAACTTCAGTCCTTATTCTCATACCAGTTGGTGTCTATCACAAAACTTCAATCACATAAGCAAACTAGTTCTTAAGTGGTTTATGCAATCAATGCAACAAGAATAAAACCTACATAAGTACTCAAAAAGGAAACAAGGATACATATCACCAACAACACCAAACACTCGGTCTAAAAAAAATAGATGTTCAAAGTGTTTAAATATTATAGTAATATGCTCAAAGTGTTTCCTCAAAATTATACTAGAATTGATATGCGTGATTAATATGATAGTAATATGCTCAAAGTGTTTCCTCAAAATACAGAACCAAATCATTCTTTTAATGGTGCATCACCATGATCACTTTGCATGTGGCTCTCGTATTTATCTGCCATCATGGGCAGAGATAGCAATATGCTCAATTGTTTCCTCAAAATACAGACCAAATCATTCTTTTAATGTTGCATCACTATGATCACTTTGCATGTGGCTCTCGTAATTATCTGCCATCATGGGTAGAGATGGGTGCAACTCTGAGTGGGGAAATAAAAGTTTCAGACGGAAAGCATCAACTCCATTCAAATAGTAGTGAAAGAGCCGCTTAGCCCTAATAAAGCCAAGGCGACCATACAGTGCCAATGCTCCTTTATTTGTCACTTCTGCTTCCAGTGTAACCTATACAAATAAATAACCAAGAAAGTGAGTCAGCATGCTCCCTCGTTGGACTTCCCAGCACTTCCCATCGTAGTCTAAGTCTAACCATTATGTTTGGCCTCTGAAGTCCAAATTTTACACTCCATCTAACACACTCTTCATTATTGGTTAAAATTTATTAAAAACTACAAAATCATGACATTCATTAAATACAAGGTGAGACCCATAAAATTATCTGATTTCTAATAAATTTCAACTAATAATAGTATATTTAGAAAGTGAATTGCCGGCATTTCTTTTCAATATAACTTTGGGTGTAATAGTCGTTTCACTGCATGATATGAATCAAAATCATATCATGGCAGTAGGATTAGTTACTTCAAAAGGAATTGATCTAATAAACTGTTGGCACTCAATAAGATTTTTTTAATTTTATTTTTAATTTAAGAACAACGGTTATAACAAAATGAGGGTCAAAAAATATGCCATTCCAAGGGTGCTTTTACCAAACAAAAAGGAAAAGAGCAGAAAACAAGAACACAACTGATGTTTTAGAGGCATAGGCATAATCATAATCCAGGTTCATTAATGAAGATTATAGAATCAGGGAATGCAGGCACAGTTTTATGAAATGGATCTGTTTACTGTAATATCTGATTCAGTTTTAGAAATAGAAGGTAAAACAAACATCTTTCCATTTGCAAATACGTTGAATTTAGTAAACCTGTACTCTTTAATATTTCGTACTCAATCTTTCTTTTCTACTAAATATTCACATACTAAATCAGCAAATAGTTTGTCTCGTCATTGAGCCATATACTGTGTTTAAAGAGGTGCATGCCAGCATGCAGAAAACAACAAGAGAAAGGATTTTGATATTCTTATATACATTCAAGTTATTGTCATGTCCTGCATCATATCACAGTGTGCATACATTGTTTTCTCATGTAAAAAAAACATCCAAGTCAGCAAACTTCAACAATAATCAGAGACTTTTGGTTCCAACTTCAACATCCTTTTGATGTTTCTCCACTTTCTCTATTTGCAATATATCATAATGCAATTAATTAATTGATGAATAATTACATGAAACCATGGGCTGTGGTAAGATGGCGAGCCATTCATCCACGTATATAGAAGGAAAGGAAAGAAACAGAAAAATTGGTCTGTCGGTAGAGGGAAAAAAGGGGACCAGGATGGAATTTGATGAAAGAAGGAAGTGGAGAAATGGGTTGGAGGAGGGAAATGCTTAACACAATGAAGAGCTGCAAAAGGAGATTTGGACGATCACAAGAGTAATGAATAATGATGAGATAAATTGTATAGGGTACGAGCTGGAATGTGATGGGATATGTGAGCATTTTGGGTAGTGCAGTGGCTTGGCTTTGTCCAGGCAAAGAGTGTGCACTGTCCTATAGTGTTCATTCATCATTCCTATTTTTTCTTCTTGAGTTTTCTCTGGTTTAATTCCTGTCTTTTTTTCCCTCTGTTTTTTAGGGCTGTATTCTCTGGTTCATCAGAGATTTATATACACTGGAAGGATCTGTGCTCATTCCTTTAAGCTGAATATCAACCAGAATTTAGTTTTTTCTGTAAGATTAAAGGTTAAAAACAAAAGGAAATGAAGGAAAAAGGAGTGACAGACACTTTAAGACAAAAACTAGTTCTCCGCTCCATGGGTAAAGGAATAAATAAGGGTGAAACACATTTGGGAGCTAACTGTTTTCATCCCATCCACAGAGTAATTACTAAACCAGTATATCTAAAGCATTTTAACATGCAATCATCCTATAAAAGCACATGAAATATATGATAAACAAATAATCATTCCCTAATCTTGATCAACTGAAATTTTATTGTTTAAGATGAAAGCACAGTGAAATTCAAGTTTTCAATTTTCAGTTTTTCATACCAACCAACAGGGAAACTAAAACCTCTCTCAATTTCTCTCTGCCTTCACTCCTTCCCACATGTTTAAACCACAGAATACTGGCATACAACCGCAGACAGTTACATATATATACACAGAGTCACACATGCATACCTCTTCACAACCCGATTCCATCATCACCTTAATAGACCTAGTAACAAGTTCTGTAGCTGCAGAAAAATAAAGCAAAAGCCAAATGAAACCTTTAGCAACATAGCACTAACATTCTTCATTAGAATTTCCAACATCAACACAAAACAAAAAACTAACACAGAGAAATATCAACCATTGATAAGAAAGTACACATGCATAACAAATCGAATTTGTTAAAATTTGAAGAACTGCTTTTTGGGAGAAATAATTATTTTATTTTCTCAAAACCACTTCTTGGTACAAGGATTGTCTTTACTTTCACATGAATCTGAAGTTGAAAAAGTTAGTTTCTCACAAATTGTTTTACTAATTATAAAATAACATTCTTAGAAAACAAGTTACCGTTTCCTGAAAGTGTTTTTTACCTATATTTTCCACAAAATTGCTCCCATAGGAGTATGTGAAAAATCTAAAATTCCCGAGTTAAATGAAAGTTTTTTTCAGTCAAAATATCATGTTACCTCTGTTTAACTATAATATAGCAAAAATCATCGATCCCCAATTAACATATATAACTATTTCCAAGAATATTTATCACCAACCAAACACATTTTAACCATTCCATTCTAATCATGATTCCTAGCCAATGGTCCTAAGAGTTAAGATGTTTCACTTCTTTTTTTTTCAAATAAAATTAAGGAGAAAATAAAGAGAGGCATAATATGCGAATTACCAATGCCTCTTCCTCTGTAGGGCTTGATCACAACCAGCATGGCAATGTACCCTCTGAAAGTGTTACGGTGTTCCCCCATCTTACAAACCACCGTGCCCACGCATTTACCCTTGTGGAACGCCTAAAATCAAGCACATAACAAAAAAAAAAAAAAAAAAAGGTTAAAAGAGATACGTTGAGGAAATTGGAAAAGAGCGAAAGCATAAAGAAAAAGTGAAAAGTTGAGGAACCAGAAAAGAAAGCTGAGGCCAGAGATAGACGAAGTAACGGTACGTGAAGATGGAGTAAGGCTCGCTGAGTTCTTGGTCGACGAGGTTCATTACGAGAGGGAGGTGATGCTCGCCGCCGTAACTAACGTACTCAATCTCCGAAGCGTCGAACTCCACTTTCTCGATTTCTGCTTCGTCGCTGTTGCTGCTTTCCATCTTCTTCTTCTTCTTCTTCTTCTTCTTCCTCACCTCACTCCTGCGTCGCTGGTTTCTTGCACAGAACAAACGGATGCAAGTTCCGTGGACGAAGTTATTCTATTGGGCCTTGCTTATTCTACTGGGCCTTGCTGTCACGCCTTATCGGTTATTAACTATTATATATTGAACATTAACTATTATCTGACGTGGAAGTGTGTTTTTTTTAGATTGTTTTTAATTTTTTTTAACTAATTTATTATTTTATTTATGAAATAAATTTTAATATTTTAAATAAATTATAAAAAGATAAAATTAATTTTTAATATAAATTATTTGTTATAAATTTAAATATAATTTATATTAAAAATGTTATTTTTATAAATTTTAATTATAGCATAATTTATATACTTAAAAAATATTTATCCTATATATTGTGAAGGTTATAATTTATTATATTTTAATAATATATAATAAATATTTAACTTGTGTATTACACGTGAATAAATACTAGTTATAATAAAAAAAAGTTTTTTTTTCTTTTCAAAATATTGAATAAAGTTAGAGATTAATGCAATTTTTAAAGACAAATTAAAGATCATTTACTAGCTAAATATCTAACTTGGATACTAATTAAATAGATAAATATAAAAAAATAGGTAAAATTTTCTTTTTATTAAAACATATTTAAAAAAAAAGTTTAAACAAACGAATCAATTCAAAATCATTCAAAAAATTATAATTTTTATTTTAAAAATTAATTAGGAAGCATGATTTGATAATTGACATTCACTTAAAAAAAGTGTATTGTTAGAACCAAATTGGAGCAATCAATTTAATCGGTCAAATTAAAAATTGATCAGTCTATTAATCTAAAAGAATTACAAAATCAGAATGTGTGATGCCCTTTTACCTCAAAAGATTTAATAAATAAATATAACAAAATTTTAATAAATAAAGACAACTTACAATAACTCTTCTCATAGAATCTTGTAAAAAAGAGTTCATATTTTTATTCATCGTTTAAAATAAAACATACAAAATATTGTTTTAAAAGAAATAAGGACAACTTCTTAAATCAATAAAGTTTTGGTAATAAAACACACTTAAATAGAAGTTCAACTACTAAATCACTACTAATCCTAAAACTTAGCCTTGATGTCACACTAAAAGAGCAAAACACCTTTTTATAATTCTCTTTCCTCAAACCTATCATATGGTACTTGCTCTATTCCTACAAATGGCGTTAATACAAACACATTTATGCAAAATGGCAATTAGGGTAAACACAAACAATACAAATATAAGGAGTGAGAATACATCTCATCTATAACAACATACTCAAAGCATAAGGATAGACACACAAATCAAACAACAACTAAATCTCATACATCTTCATCAATTATCTCGTACAATATTAATAAAAGTTTAATATATAACATCTAATGTATCACCATCATTCCATCATTCACACACATAACATATTCATCAATTGATACTCATGAGATGTATGCTCCTAGCTCTACATGCATGTTATACCAATCTCCTCCTCATCATCGAGTGTACATAATAGCCTAAGAGTAATAGAATGGGACCATCCCATTAAATAGTGTAGAGACCATTAGGGGATGTCTATTAGGGTAGTCTTTCATTCCTGTTAGGGGTTTTTCCACCATAACACCCATCGAGGCATAAATAGATGACCTATGATATCCCACTTGCATAAATTCATGCATCCTACAAAATAAAGTATGAACACATGGACTCAATACACTCAAACAAAGAAATGATATACAATGCTTAACTTCCCGAGTGTTAGTCTGCAACACTATACTTACTCATCATATCTCATCATAATACTTATCATAATATGCACATATCATCACACTTAGACATTTCATTGTACAATCACATATCAATATATTACTCATAGCAACTTAACATATCATACATTAATATAATTCTCACACTAATTTCTTTTCATATGCATATCATTATTACTATACATTCTCGTCACAAACTATAACATTTATCATTGTAACATCATTATCATAATATCTTAATCATAACAACATCATTGAGCTTTAAGTATCATTACACATCATAGTATTACTCATTACTATTACTCATTTTAATACCCCCGTCTTATTGTAATTCCACCAATGATATCATTAATATTTACACACTAGGATACACCATTTTAGCTAATTCCTTACACATTACTACTCATTAATATCTCAATAGGACTATTCAAGCAACATCATGAGTACAACACAATAGATTCCTTCAATATATACATCACTATTCATTAATCTTAATTTATTTGTGAACAACATCAACCCTTCCTCAGGGTTCCTCATTCAACAAGTAGATTCTAAAATAAAATAATTAAAAGAAATAGGCATGGCGCCCGATAAGATTTAATCCATGCTCGACACGGAAAGACTATAGCCTCTTTTCCAACTTCACATTCGACGTAAGATTTCTACAACATTATTCATCAATTACTTCTCTTAAGTCTTAGTTTTAGTATCTCTTCTCGACTCCTTAATTATCTTTTAAAACATATAAAATAATTATTTAAATAATTATTCTTTTCTTCTTCCAACTTTTCATACACATTTAACACTTCAACTTAAAAATTCATTTGATCAAGATAATCAAATCACACTCAATAAATCTCGTAGTAACATCGATTTATCACAATTTACCCAAAACCCTCAAAATTCATGCATAACCACCCTTATGATACCCTTTACCCTACATGTCATAACACAAAAATATAAAAACTAAATAACCTCAATATTATAAAATAACTCAAAATCCTTATAAGTAGAGAGAATCATATTGTATCTTAAACAAATAACACAACATAACTGAAAAGAATTACAAAGAAACTAAAAATGATGTTTTTCAAATGAACCAACAAAAATAAAGTCCTACACTAGTCCTAACTATGTCTCGATGTCACATGTCCTATTAGAGTAACCCAACATGAAGCTTAAGCCTTATCACTAATATCTTCATCATCATGCTGATCATCACCTACAAAATCAACACAAGAGTAACAACAAAGACAAAAGGAATGAGAAACCTTTCACTCTTGCTCATGGTGCAAGAATGCAAATCAAATAACTAAACACAAATAATGCATACAATAAGACATAGCCATACACACCTCTCACTCTAGCTCATGGCATGAAATAAATAACTAATAGACATATACACTCCATTTATACAATAACATGATATTAATAAATAATTATCATGATTAATACAATAACTCATTTATCATCATTGACACAATTACTCATCCATGACACATCAATCATAATTAATTCATTACATGTAAGTATAGAATGCAAAGGACACAGACTCTTGATTTGCATGCATGTGGTACCAATCTCAAGATATACGCAACGCATATTAAGTGATTTGCTAATTTATGTGCATATGATGCATGTCAAATAGACTTGATGCAATAACATACACATGCTCTCACTTCACATATCACATATCCCTCATATCACCTTATATATACATTCTCAAATACATTAACTAGCCATTAGTATAAAGACAGTATCAAAATCACAAAGGTAAAATAACCAATTAATAGTCGCTATCGAACAACATCTAGTTGAGTCACCAACATCTAATTGAGCAACCATTATCTACTTGAGCAAGTTGACATCTAGTTGAACGAGCTAACATCTAGTTAAGCAAGCTAAGCTCATTGGGGCTTCTTACTGAGCGAGTTGGCATCTAGTTGAACCTGTTGGGGCTTTTTGTTGAGTGACTAATATCTAGCTGAGCAAGCTGAGCCCCTAGGACTTTGTTTCTTTTGTTTAACGATGCAAAATATATTGACTAGGAATTTGAATAACTTTTTTAGCTTGAAAAATTACCAAAATATGTCTGCAAAGTATTTCCATAAATTCAAAAGGTTGGCAACAATACATAGCATCTCTTGTCTCTAAACTCACATCAATAGTGAACGTATCTTGAACATCAAAACAATCAGTGTAACGTAGCAAGTTGTTTTAAAAAGCCTAATATAGGTGATTTAATAGCCTAGAACGGGCCGTTCCCAATCTGGAACGGGCCGTTCTAATATATTAAATTGGCCTGTAATTTGTGGTTTAGAACGGGTCGTTCTGGATGGAGAACAGACCGTTTTGGAAGGGAGTACGGGCCGTTCTGGATGCAGTACAGGCCGTTCTGGATGAGTCCCAGAACGGGCCATTCTGGATGAGTCCCAGAATGGGCCGTTCTTATTCTATACTTGTATGATTGATTTTTGAACTCTAGCTTACCCTTCTATTTCCATGTGAATGGACTGCGATGATCATACTATGTATGTGAGCAGATCAGGGTTAGGTTGGAGTAGGTTGTTGTGACCGTTGCGAGACGTGAAGTTTTATTCTCGTGTCAGAATTACCATTTGGGTAATTGTTTTGTCTGTGCTTGACCACCTACACTAGGGTGATATTATTTTTGGGATGACTGTACATATATAATGTTATATTTTGTACATAGAAACATAGTTATTATTATTTTTATATATAACTGTATGTATGAGTTATCCAGTTTTTGTATTTTTCTTAGTCTACTAGTTTTTAGTGCGATTCCATTGAGTGTAAGGACCACGGCGGGTCGTTACAATTTTCATTTTCTAATTTTGAAATTTAGAAAATGAATTTAATTTAACTATTTACAATAAAATTTCATAAAATATTTTTAATATAAACTTTACAATTAAAATTTGAACAATAAATCTATCTCTATATATTAAATAAAAAATTATCTGGCATATAATATTTTTAAGAATTTATATTCAGTGAAAGTGATTTTAGGTTTTATCCTTCAATTTGAAAATTTTTAAAAATTCTGTTATGTTCTTATTCAATTCTATTTTTATTTATTATTTTTATTTATAAATTAAATTTTCTTGGAATTCAGGCTAAGAAGCTTGTTTTGGAAGATTGAAGTTCATGGGTTGAGCTTTAGAAATAAATTCTTCTTCTTCTCAGTTCTTGGCTGTTCTGAGCCAACTTTCAGGTGAGGGGAGCTAGAGTGCATGTTGAATCTGAGTTTGTTTTCAAGTTGTATTGAGCCTATGTGTTAGATTTCATGGATTGCATGTGGCTGGATTTGTTGATTTTCAG